AGGGCTCCCATGGGGAGGGCAGCAGGGCAGGGAGCCCCAAGTCCGCAGCAGGCAACCCACATCTGTCCCCACCCCGCATGGGCTCTGTTCAGCTCTGTTCTGGCTGTGCCCCCCTCTCCCTTGGCAAAAATAAAAATCAGCACCTATGGATGGAATTGCTAAACAGGATTCAAAGACAGATTCCTTCTGGGAATCTCTATACCCTTCTCCTCCCTCCCCCTAGATAAGACTTGGCTTCTTACCAGGACACCACTGGACAGCAAGGTCCCCTACTCTTCCCTTCAGTCTTTGATTCAGCCCAGTGCCTCAGGACATTCAAGCCCCTTGCACAGGATGAATGAAGAAATATATAAGGTTGCATATGGCAGACAAACTTAAATATGAAGCTGGAAGATCAAAATATGGTGGAGGAGCATATGAAACTAAAGGAGTGAATGTAGAGAGAAAAAGATAAGATGAGACAGAAAGGAAATAGGGAATGGAGGATAGTTCAGAAAAAATATATATTATGATGTCTAATGCTAAAGGAATCGTTAGCCATAGGCAGGATTGTTAAACAGTTAAAACGAAAGCAAAGTAATGCAGTATGAAGTTTTGAAACATGTATTATAAAGAAAGATGATTGATTTTTTGTAATAAAACACAACACACAAACAGGAAATACTGTATTCTTCTAATTTATAGAGGTTTGGTTTAGGAACAAGGAAGCACAGTTATTTTAATTCCAGCTAATAAGCTTAAATATCAGGGCTTTTAGTGGGTTTTTTTGGGAGCAAAAATTACTGCAAGAAATTGCTGAACTGTTTAGCAAGTTATATAGTATTTGATCCTATCTATCTAACTGAACTTTCATACTGTCAGGGTAAAGCAGATGAATATAGGGCAAAAAAGTGAACAAAGCAACATTATTGAACATAAATGTGAGGAAAAAGTAGGTAAGTAAAGGAGAGGAAGGTAGGGATGAGGAAGGTATGAGCATGAAAGACAAGGGATCCATTCTTACTGCTGTCCTAAAAAGAGATCAGGTCATGCTAAAGTAATTTTCCTGTGGGACTCTTCCTTTAAATTCAGACTCTATGTGCCCACAGGTTTCTAATCTAGCATCATGAATTCAGTCCTATGTTTCTTACACTCAGCATTCATTGGAAGATTTGGGTTTATGGAAATGCCATATTGAACAACTGCTCTATAGACTTAAAGTTTAGTTAGTGTTGAAACTTCCACTCATTAACTTCTCCTATATTAAAAATAAAAAATGGAATTGACTTATTCCATTAGAAAAATTAGATAAAAATAACATTTCACAATAGAAAGAAAGTATTATTTGGTAAGTAGGACCAACAAATAAAACCCAGGCACCCATTAAAATTTTTGCTTTGGGTACATGTTTTCAGCAGCTTCTTGAAATGTATAATCCCCATGCATCCAACAGCAGCAGCTCTTTTAGCTGCCACTATTACTTCTGCTGCTGTTCATGTTGTTAGCTGCTGGTCTCCTGGGGTTAATTTGTTTTGCTCTGTCTTCAGATCTGTTGCTATTGAGTTATGAGTTTGCCTAGGCCAAGCAGTTGCAGTTGTTATCACATTGTAGCTTTGAAGGTCATTTTTTTGCCCTAGAAGACTCTGAAGGCTATCTCATTTGTATAGCAAGACTTTAGCTGTTCTCCAATTTCTAAAGGAACATTTTAGGTTTTGGCATGTATATCAGTTTTATGTGACACAGAGTAAGGCCCACATTCTTGAGGAGTAAACTTTTACTGTAGAAAATATTGTATGTGAAGCTTGTAGGGGACTGATGCTTTCATGTCTGTGGTGCTTGTCCAAATCTCACCCAGGACAGAAGGAATTAAAAGATAGTAACCATCTCCTGGTTCTTCAGTGAGAAATGGGTTGTCCTCACTCCCAAGTGGATTAGTATCCATGTCAAAAAAAACTTTCTTACAGTTAGCTTGTAGCCTCAACAAAGCTAAAAACTAAGCATAGAAGATGACTTTCTTATTTACTATAGACTTCGTCTGTACTCAGTCCCAGATCATCCTTTGTACCAGAGTTTTAAGCTACCTTTGTGTTGCCTCAACCCAGGGGCTACCAGAAGCTGAGATAGCCCAGAGCATCATTTAAAAGCACTCTCTGACTTACTGTAAATTTCATGGGCTGCAATGGCCTTCAGGAAAGCCACCCCAGCAGCTGGCACCCATTGGAGCACAGAAGCACTCTGACTGTGCTCCTTTCTCTGGCATGGCTTTTGTGGCCAGTCCTTTACTGCTCAGGGATTCTCTTATGCTGAAGAATCTCTGAGTAGCTGGATCCACTAGGCCTTCAGCTAACTTGTACTGGTGTAAGTAAAGGGCATGGGGAAGTTTAAGAGGGTTCCAAGGCCCCTGTTACTTTAAGAGAGAAGAACAGCAAGCTAGAGCTGCATTCTGGTAGGGACAGCTGAATTTAAGCCAGCAACATCAGAGTAGGAAGCTCAGCTGTGTAAACTGCAGCAGAGAAAATGAGGCAGCTTATTGAGCTAAATGGAGTCACCTGGGCTAAGGGAGTGGCATGTGACCAAAACTGGATGGAGCCCAGGGAGATGTATGTTCAGTCCTGAGCCAGAGCAGGAGTTAGGTCCTCTCTTAAGGAGAGGAGCTTGTGCTTTCAGGGAACATAGAAATCTGGGGTGGAGAGGTGTTTGTAATGTGCAGAGACCTAAAGTAGAGCAGATTATGTTACAGGTTGGTGAGTTTATGGTTGTGTTTTGTGGTTAAAGTTAACCAGAGGTTTGGGTTGCACCTGGAAGGGTGGGTAGAGGCTAGAGGGGGACCTGGAAGGAAAAGCTGTAAAAGCAGCTTGGTCTAGGGTCAGAGACCTGGAGGGCTGAGGGCTGGCATGGAGCAATACTAGGCTAGCCTGGGGTCAGGGGCCTAGAGGGTTGGCCAAGTTAAGCCAAGGTTAGGGGGGCTAAGGCTAGGTAGTGGTGCTGAAGCCTGGCAAGAGAGGCTGAAGTCAAAGTAGGGCCATGGACACAGGGAAATGGGAGAGCCTTATTAGGTACAGGTGCCTGCCAGGCTAAGCTGAGGCTAAATAAGGCTAGAGGGCACAATGAATGAATCCGGAGTAATGTGTGTGAGGCAGCAGTATGGCTATGTAGGTGTCTGGAGGCCATGACGGGAGAGCCTTTAAGATGCAATTGGGCCCAGTTGAGTCATGACCAGCATCATGGAGACACAAGTGCCAATAGCATAAGCAGTGCTGATCAGTAAGCTGTTGGCATGAGGAGGACTGGGGGTGTCCTGTTAAACAGAGCTAAGATGAGAACAAAATCCCAGCAGCTCACTCAAGGACTCCAGGAGACAGCCTCAAAATACAACATACAAATTACCTAAAAATGTGTCAGGAATCAGGGGGGAGACGGGATTAGTTCAACCACCAGGGGGCACTGCAGCTGCCTCCAAGCCGTCCTGTTTCAGGGAGGCCAGAATCTGGCTCAAGAACTTTAGAAACGATTGCTAGCAGTTTGGTGCCAGGTCAGCTGCAACACTGAGTTGGACCACATAGGAGAGAGCCCTAACAGTTTCCAGAGTCTCTACTGCTGTGTCAATTAAACTGCAAAACTCAGTGGTAGGAGCCTAGAAGCCTCTGGAACTGTCTGCATTGGATCTACTAACAGCAGATGTAAATGGGTGGGAAATCACTGGTAAAGTTTCCTATTGTAGACAATCATCCCCTAAGAAAGAAGAAAGCCCCTGTATCAGGGCTAAAACGGAATAGCAAGGCTATGTGGAAGATGACTGCTCTGCCAGTGCTTATGTTGTACCTGTCCTGTAGATGGAGAAGAGGACCTCAACCTCCACATCTGCAAACCTGCCGCATAACCCCACAGTATGGCATATGCTCCCAGTCCCAACTCTGTATTTCTAAAGAGCCCATATTTAGTTGATTTCTGCTGCCCTGTGGGCCCTCTGCTTTCTTGGGTGTGGAGTCACTGTTCCTGGGTTGAGTTCTCCTTGGAGGTTGCACCCCTCCTGAAGTCGAAATGGCTGCTACTTTTCACCAGTACTAAATTCAACATATCTTTTAAATCAAGTATGAATTTTCTCTTATAATATAGTATTTAAAGGTCAATGATGGATGTGTTGAGCTGGCAATTTGAAAGTCAAAACAACTCTTGCAATAAAGTAAAGTGTTACTGGTATTGTGCTTATAACAAATTTTTTGCCACTCATTCTTTACTTATTACAATCAATAATTAGATTGGAAAAGGAACAGATGTCAGCATTCCCTTGTTGCACCTATAAGCTAATACGTGTCTATTCATGATGCCAAAACATGGTTTAACTCAAGAGTCTTATCTTCTTTCCACAGCTACCCGTCTCCTTTCTTGTGTGCTTTGAGCAGCAGCAAAATATTAGAAAATGGTGATTGTGGGCTGATCATTAGCGGGGTCAGAATAAACACAGGTTAATATAGGCAATTAGTTGTCCCTTTTCAGGATGTTTGCACACTCAGGATCACATCCTCAAATCAAATTACGATTGGTGCATATTTTGACATTGTTTTTCCCATAGTAACAGGCTAGAAATATTTTTTTAATGTATAGTTTTAATTGTGGAAAAGAACATAGAGTTGGTAAAAGAAAAAAAAAAAAGTGAACCGCATCACTGTAAACAACTACAATAGTATTACATGGTTACTGCTGCCCTCTCTCACCTTAAGATGTTGGATTCTGATACTGGTTAGTGGTCTAAAGCAGGGGGCTCTAACTCCCAAGTGGGCAGAGGTCAGGCCAGTGGGGGCTGCCCACACCACGGTCAGCCAGAGCCAGCATGGCTGCAGCACCATGTGCACTGGCCTCCCACGGCTGCATTTCAGTGAGTCACCAGATGGGGAAAGTGTAAGAGAGATGTTGGAGCAGAGGCTCACTGAGGCAAGGATTTCTTAGGGTGATGAATATCTTACTGGACAACTGTGTAGTAAAATTAGGCAACCTGTTGAATGCAATATGCCCTTTGACAAATGAAGAATGTCAAATTCAAAAACTTGTCTACCTACTACGCAGTTGGTCTAATAAAAGATCCTTCTCTCTCAGGTAATACAAGTCATCTTTCCTGTCCCCTGCAGCAGCCTCGTCTGCCTTCTGGATGTTGCAAATTAATACTGGCTCACAACGACCAACCAGTGCTGCCTGTTCAGGGTTTGGTGGTTTTTTTTTGCCAGTAACTTGTCCCGAGGCGCTTTACTGGCCCAACCAGCCTTATGTGTGTGTGCTGCTGCTGATAAACCTGCCCCAGCTGCCCCCACCCAGCGCTGCAATTAACAGCCCCAGGGCAACAATGCGGGCGGTGTGGCGGGGCTTCGGGGCATGGAAGAGCCCGGCCTGGCGGCAGACCCGGGACGGGTGGCGGCCGCATGACACAACCCGAGCGAGCACAA